AGCCACATATTAAAAGGGCAAAAAAATAAAAAATCTAAATCTAAAACATGTTTATTGCACAAGAAAAGATGCACTGAATCAAAATACAGTTTTGTTTTACTGATGTGCATTCCAGTGAAAAAAAATCTGTTTCCCCAATGACTCCCCGCTTAAAAGCTTTCAAACACAATCCCTACTTTATATACTTTTAAACTATATACTTTATATATCGTTATATCTATACTTTGATATACATATTTCACATATTTGACAGTATATAGTTATATATTCATACCAAATTCATCATGTTTTCTCTTCTCATTGTAACATGGAAGAACTAAGATAATCGGTAGCAGCAACTTCATACTTTGCTCACCCCTGTTGATTCCACAAGGCCCTGGTTAAAGGGCATATATCATCATATTTTAGAGCCGGAAAACCTGAAAAGCTTCAAAGTATTTAACAAATCACAACTGCCTTTTCTTACTTAATTTAAAAATGCACTTATCCGAAACAAAAAAAGAGCCTTCTGAGTCACGTCCACTAAAACAGGAAGGCACTACCATATATGGATGATGACAGAGTGACTGTAATGGCACCTTCTGGAAATCTCTGAACACAGCGGATTGTTTTGTTGACACAAAAAGACCTTTTGACGCGGGAATTTGTCGAATGCATGCGTGGCTGCTTGTTACATAAGTGAGCGTGTTTGCTTCGAAGATCTTCTATGCAAAAATTGTGAGAGGTAATTGCACGTGAAAAATAACAGTCCGTCGCATTTAAAGTGACGTCACTACTCGAATCTGGAAAATGAGAAAACGCACTTCATGGTTCAGCTACAAAAGACAGTTCGACCAGGGAGTCAACAGCCAGACCATTTAGGCAACCACAGCTGTTGATTATGAGCTTCATCAGGTAAGAAAATGCTTTTTTTTTTTTTTTTTATACACACTGTGCTTAATTTCTTTCTTAATGTCTGAGCCAATGTCTGTATGTGACTACAGCTGCTTTTGGAATACACATCAGGTTTTTCTCCGTCATCCACCACATCAAATGTCAGAAGAGGTCTAGATTGACAGATGTTGTCCGCAGAACAACGTCTGAGGACATTACTGTAGGAAAGTTAGTTCATTTATCAAACGGACTAATGATAGAGAACTGCTCCGTGCGGTTAGCCTGTGTAAAATATACTGGTGGTCGTTGTTCAGCGAAAACGCGTTTTCACTTGATTTTGGTGTTTGAGATGTGATGTCGTCGCTGTTCGGCGACATTCAGCTGCGTTGTGCTCTGTTGTTCTCTCATCCTTTTAAACATATTTCTCACATGCTAGTCAATGTTTCTGCGTGACGTTTCAACCCTGAAAACGACTGAAGTTGTAGAAAATGATGATATATGCCCTTTAATCAAATGGAAGTAACCAGGTTGTAATGCGAGTGATTGTAGACAGAAAACTTGACAAAAATATATGAACAATTCCAGACAAATTTACCAAAAAAAAAAAAAAAAAAAAAAATTTTTGAAAGAAAGTAAAATTAGGGTGGGGGGAA